CTCCACTTCGGCAGCCTGGGTTCGTGGGTTTGGATCCCAGGTGGCGACCCATGTACAAAATAGATGAAGACTGGCACAGATGTTAGCTCAGAGGAAGTATTCCTCAGCAAAAAAAAAAAAAAAAAATCTGAGAAATCAGAGCCCTGGTGTTGTGATGGTTGGTCTTGGGCTCTTCTCATGACACCGTAGTGCAAACATGCCTAAAAGACTTGGAAAGTAAGTACTGGCATGTGTTTGTTGTTGGGAGTGGGATGAGGAGGCTGGAGTAATAGGAAAAGGGCTAATCACCCAGAGGTGGGAGCAATTACTCTACTAAAAGCCTTACAGTAGGAAAAAGGCTGGACATCCATAGGAAAAATGATTACGATACTTTGAACTATAACAAACATATTAGTGATAATTGAAAATTTTTTCAGGTAGCCTTTCTTGAGTGCTCCACATACTGACTTTGTGGCACATTCTAGTAAGATATACTAGCATTGACACTTTTTTTAATATAACCACAGAATTGCTGTATATAGATTCTGTTGTTATTCATCCACATTCCCCAAAATGAAAAGCATCAGATAACAGGTAGACAATGCCACCTTATTCCTGTTTTCTTTTGCAAAATAACCAAATGCAAACCACTATTATTCTTTTTCATACTTGGCCTCCCAAAAGGAAGAAGCGAGGTGGCGGCCACCAAAGGCTGCTTTGCCCCTCAAATGCAGCGGGGCCAGAGAACTTCCATGCACTGAGCTTGTACTGCTGGGCTACACCTTCCCTAGATGTTCATTAAAATGAAGCAAAATACATAACTTTTAGAATATTAGCATAATGCAGCCTACATTGTGAGACAATTTGTTCTTAAAACACTAATGTCCAGACTTTTTTTTCTACTACAGTGGAAAATGGCCTACATACCCACATTACAAGTGGTATAATTTGCTCCTCTTGTCACTAGAGAGCTGGGTAGAAGTCAAACACCATCAAATGTAGACAGAATTTTATCACAGCATCTCAAACGATTCCAGTATTTTTTTTTTTTTTTTCATGAGGAGGATCAGCCCTGAGCTAACATCCATGCTAATCCTCCTCTTTTTGCTGAGGAAGACCGGCTCTGAGCTAACATCTATTGCCAATCCTCCTCCTTTTTTTTTTTCCCCCAAGGCCCCAGTAGATAATTGTATGTCACAGTTGCACATCCTTCTAGTTGCTGTATGTGGGACACGGCCTCAGCATGGCCAGAGAAGCGGTGCGTTGGTGCGCGCCAAGGATCCAAACCCGGGCCGCCAGTAGTGGAGCGCGCACTTAACCACTAAGCCATGGGGCCGGCCCCACGATTCTAATATTTCTAACTCCAGATCACTAAAATATCCTCCCCACCCTACTGTATCTTTTGTCCCCGAGATTCACTGCATTCATTGTTAAAAAGTAGCTCAAGATTTATGAAATTTAGAATACAGTACAATCAAAATTACTTCAAACAATTTTTAAACCAATACTCCGTATGTACTCTTTTAGTGAGATATGTTCCAAGAATAAAAGAATCACAAATTTTCCACTTAAGTTTATTGCTGGTAGTGATTTTGATGTAGTAATTCTAAAATAATTTTTACATGTCTTGTAGAATCAAACAAATAAGTAAATATTGATGTGCAGAACCAAGGTTCTCACCATGGGAGAAGGAAGATAAAAATGTGGAACAGGGAAAGGTGAGGAAGATTAGTGTTAGATTTGAAATGAAAGTATCAGAATGAACTCATGATTTATAAAAAATGCATTTCCTGGCTCTGTTCCCTGAAAGGGCCTACCCCAGTAGCACCCAGATATTGATTTCCAAATACCATTTCCCTGTGAAAAGAAACTAGGGCTCCCTGGAGAAATAGCCAATTCTCAGTCTGGGGCAGGAAAATTCTATGATAAACCCAGAACATCCTGCTTTGGCAAAAAGCAAGCAAGTGCTCCAAAACTGAGAGGCATAGGTCAAAATGACCTATGAATAAGCTTAAAGGTGCTCTTGCAGGCAAAATCTGGAACAATTACAGTAATTAAATGGAATTTTTAAAAAGAATCGATGAATCCACATTGATACTCAAAAAAAGCAGGAAGGGGGAGGAAAAAAAGTGCTTCTTTGTGAAAGAGTGCCAGCTAATAAATGTAGATGGAATACTAGATTCAGAAAGTCCCTATTTAAGCCACCAATGTAATAAAATAATGGATTCTGGCAAGGATTATCAATGAAGGCTAAAACCACTGAGTGAACACAACATCCAAATGGTCTCCAAGTATTTCCTCCCACATTATTTGCTTAAGAAAAGCATATTCTTAAAATGGAAAGATCTGACAGAAAACAAGTGATCAAACTTATCTTGGCAATGACAACATTATGTGCCTCCTGGTGTGATGGGACGAAATGAATGGGACATGCCACGTGCCATCTATGGAGTCTTCTGACAAAATGTTTATCCTGAACCTACCTGTGAGAAACAATCACAGAAATACAGAATTCCACAAGCTAACTGGCCTGCTTTTTCAGGTGTCAATTTCATAAAAGATCAAAAAAGGTGGGAAGATTGTTCTAGGATAAAAGAAGACTAGAGATACACAATAACCACATGTCGTGGGATTGGATCCTGGATTTAAAGAAAGAAGAAATGTTTAAAGAAAATTTAGGGGGAAATTGAGACTCAAGTTTGAATGTGTACTATATACATTAGACAATTCTGTATCACTGCTAAATTCTTTGGGTATGATAATCGTACTATGATCACGTAGGTAACGTCCTTATGTTTTAAGAGAGACAGGATGCAATAGCAATGGGTGAAGTATGACATCACTTCTTTCAAAAGAAAAGTGTTTATAGCGAGATCGGCAAAATAACAATTGTTGAATACAGGAAAAGGTATATGACTGTTTCATTGTACTACCAACTTTTCTGTAAACTTGAAAATCTTCAAAATAAAAAGTTGGAAGTAAAAAAAAAAATAAAGAAATAGCTTACAGATATGAAGGTGCATTTGGGGCTTTAGCAAAGTGGAGCATCCTACTCTCGATTTTAACCAAACCCAATGAAAAACCAGAAGCAGCTATAGGACAAACCAAGGAATCAAGCTAACATGGCAAACGAATGCCTAAACCTCCTCTTCCTATTAATTCACACATGTGGAGGGCAAATGGTATGAAGGTGTTGGTGAATGGTTCATGTACCTTTATCCATTTTATCACAAAAGACATAAAGTGAAGATAAAAGGCAAACATGTTTCCCTTCTTTTAAATCATAATTCCAAGGGGATAGAGGACTGGTAGGGGCAAAAAAAAAAAAAAAGATTCTTTTTAAAAGTTAATATATTGACTTACTTTGAAAAGTTGGCAGAATGATGAAACTAGATGTTTTCTCATCTAAATCTAATAAACATTTGTAATTAGACATATACAATAAGACTTGAGCCCATATTGTTTTAAAATCTCACAAACCGAGTACAGCATCATCACCAATGCTGTAAACGATCCCACCAAGATTTTTTTCCTTGAGCTTATTTTCTGATAGACACTGAATGAGTCTGCACTGTGAATTCCACTATCAGTACATAAAATGCTCCCCTAAACGTTCAGCATTCTCTGTCTTCAAAGCTCTCAAAAATACAGTTGCATCTCAAATGCTGCTGGTAGACTCTGCTGAACTAAACACAGTACTGGAATGTTTATACAGCCATTAAAGTTGAAAAAGTATTTTTACTCAAATGGTTATGAGTTTATTTTAGATTATGAAATCAGCCACCCCATTCCCACCACTTCCATCTGAAATCCCAAACAAATTTAGCAAAGTTAATGACTACGTAGCAGGATAATCATTCAAACTTTTTAATCTCCCTTCACTTATTATATTAACATTCATGTTGCAAGGCATTGCATTCACAAATATTACAGTTTGATAAAAAATTTCACACACATACCCCCAAAAGTCTATACCAGATTCAGTCACTTTACTAAATCATTAAAATAATAAAAGTAATGAAAACATTATCATAATTCTTTAAAGCAATAAAGGTCTGAGGCACTCTGGGAAAGATGTTCTCATACAAGTATAACATGTCAGTGGTATCAAATTATCTTATAAGAAAGGTATCAGATACCCAGTTATCAAGTACACTCTAATGACAATGACTTTGATCTGATATGTCTTCACTGGATACACTCCCATTTGGACTAAACTACTGAAAGGAACATAGATAGATATCGGGCAGCTGAGGTCATTACAAATGAGGTTCCCAAACTATGTAAAGGTGAAGTGTGTTTTCAGGACACCAAGGACACTGCATCTCTACTGCAAGGGACAGTCCAGTCTTCAATGAAGGTCCTTCTCATCACTACCAGGTTTACTCAGAGTCCAGTCTCACAGCCCACCTGACCTCCTCTGCTCACTGTGCGAGATCTCAGAACTGTTTCCCCTTCAGCCTCCACAGTGCAACCTCCACCCTTCTCTGAATATCTCCAAGGTATGCCCTGGAAATAAAACAGAGCGGGGAAGAAGGGCAGCTTTTCCCTCCCATTTTGACCAAATAAAGGTCTGAAATAGCAACATATTACGAAATTCTCATGCTCTGCAACAGCCAGCAACCACCTGGAGCATTAGCATACGGCTATTTTTGCCACAAACTAGATTTTTTAAAACCTGACCACCTTTTTCCACAGTGAATTTTGCCACGTGCACTCACTGACAAGAGTCCACACTGGAGAGAGTCTCACTGACCCAGGGCTTCCCTACACACAAGTACAAAGGTGTTTATGAGCATGAGGCAGGAGGGAGCCAATTCCCCACCGGGAGTTAAATCCCTGCAGACTCTGGGTCCACTCACGACAGTGGAGAACCCTGTCAGAGCAGAAGCCACACAAACCCCAACTCACATAGTGTTTGCTAATTACATATATGGAATTTAAAATGTGTATATATATATTTCCATACATATATAATAAAAAAATCGGGAGCAACGTATGTTGCTAAAGTTTCAAGGCTTCTCATCTTCAACAATCAGCCGGCTCTTGACAGCCCAGTCATGGCAGTGATAGAAACAACTAGAAGCAGGTTTACGTAAAAGTGCTCAAAGGGTAACTGAGAAAACAGTGGCACAGAGATTTGGGGGGGAGAGGGAGGCACTGAAAGGAGTTAAGAAATGTTTACTTTATTCTTCTCAGCTTTTTCAGACCCAAGATAAGTTCTTGAGGACATACATCAAATGCTGTAGTCCTTCCTTATCTACAGTCAAAACAAACAAGTAATAAAAAACGTCCTCTTCCACTCTGTACTCTCCGTGAAATGACAGCACAGCCAGAAGGCATTACTGAGACACACCCTCTCGGAGACGTTAAAACTGGGACATGAAGTGAGGCCGCGTGCTCTCAAGTCGCCGGGTCAGGACCTCACAGCCAGTGTCTGTGACCAGCAGCGTGTGCTCAAACTGAGCAGACCGCTTTCCGTCTCGTGTCACCGCGGTCCAGCCATCCGGCCAGGTCTCATCCTGCCATCCACCTTACACAACAAACAAAAACAATTTCTTAATTCTCAGTGAGCTTTCTAAATAAACTTTCTAGGTAAGTGTATTCGCATGTACTCCTGTATCCGTGGATATTGCAGAAACCAACTAGAAAATTCACCACTAAGATTCCTATTTACACTTCAATTGTTTTAGCTAAAGCCTTCCCAACTTCATTTTGGTCTTTAGTCCAATAAAGCAATGATCTTTAAATTTCCTCAGGTGTGTTATAACTTCACATTTTTCATCAAATCCCAAATATCAAATCAGATGGTAGTATTTCCAAAATAAAGGCACATGTTTCCAAGAGAAAACATTGATACTACTCATCACAGAACTGTTGAGTAAAAAACTGAATTAATGAATTAGGCTTTTTCCTGGTATAACTTTGGCATCTGACTAAACTACAGCCAATGTATATTGTAAAGGAAATAAGGTAACTTTTTATACTTTTATTATAGCACTTAATTCCTGATATAATTTTAAAATGGCCAGCACATAAATGGTGAGAACAGATTATACTGTGAAATTTTTGTAGACCACACCCCGGTAACCAGAAAGAGGGGCAAAGAGAAAGGAACAGAGATCGGTGAGAGAATAAAAAAATTATGATGAGGCAGAATGGGCTAGAGAGGGGTTGAAACTAGAGAAAGGAAATGAAGCGACAGTGAAAGAAGCCAGGAGACAATGAAACGCCACATTAGAGAGGGTGGGGAGGAGGGGAGAGGGAGGGGAAGAGAGGGGAGGCCAAGATAGAATGAGCAAGTCATGCAATTCTGGATACTACTATAAAAACATGTGTTTGCAGAGACTTTCTTGTCTCCAAATTAGATGTCAAAATAATCAATACATTCATTTTGAGTAACCTTCATCAAAGATTAGGTCTCACTGACTCAGACAAATCCCAGAACATCAATTCTGCAGTGAAGTAACCTACTTTGCAACATGAAATCCCAGTCTAAAATAAAAATATGAGGTAGCCTAAAGAAAGTTAATTCAGGGCCGGCCCCGTGGCTTGGCGGTTAAGTGCGCACGCTCCGATGCTGGTGGCCCGGGTTCGGATCCCGGGCGCGCACCGAGGCACCACTTCTCCGGCCATGCTGAGGCCGTCTCACATACAGCAACTAGAAGATGTGCAGCTATGGCTTACAACTATCTACTGGGGCTTTGAGGGAAAAAAATAAATAAATAAAATCTTTAAAAAAAAAAAAAAAGGAAAGTTAATTCATGTTTTGTCAAACATCTAAAGATGAGTAAATGGATATTTTTCAGTGTAATGAATGACTTCTTCATAAATGGATTTAAGACATAGTACTTCTTTGATTTTATCGGGATCTGCTAAAACAGGTTCTTTACTAATGTCAAGTCAAACATGTTGGGCTACTATTCTGAGGAAATTCAAATTCCTCTTTGGATTTGAGACTTCCCACTCTGGAGCTGGATTTAGCCTAGCTGAGTTACACTGAAGTATATGTTATAATTTGATTATCTGAACCAGCACTATACAAAGTTACTTGCTTACTCCTGGAAATACCACATTATGTCTCACCAACCAGATGCCAGTTAATGAAAATAGGTATATAACCAAAACCACACTTTCCCTTCACAGTCTTGCCTTTCTCTGCTTATATACTTACTGCCCTTGGAACTGGTTACACACGATCAGAACTTTCTTATTCCGTGAGGATGACAAAAACAATACCTTACAGTTGTACAGCCCTTTAAAGTATACAGGGTACTTCGTGTTAACATACATCATCTCACTTAATTCTTACAGCAGCCCTGGGGAGTCAGCAGGATACACACTGTAATTTTCATTTTACAGAAAAGGCAACAGAGGATCTGGTTCAGAGGCCGTGTCGACAATAACCTCCAACACTCCCCTCATGCTCCCCGCCTTGAGGGTGGGCTGCATTTAGTGACTCACTTCCAAGGAACAGAAGCTGGTGGAGTGATGGGATGCCACTCCCAAGATTAGGTTATAAAAAAGCCTGGAAGGATCCAGAGAGGAGATCTCCATTAAGACACACTAGCCCTACTACTCTTGCCTCAATCTGCAACCCCTAATCCCAATGAAGAGCTGGTGGGAAAGAAAGGTGAAGGCCTCACTAAGCAGCCCCCACTTATGACTCTGACAATCTCAGGGAGGAGCTCTAATCATGACACCGAGTCTGTCATCACTGCCTGTCACAAGGAATAACAACAGTGAGGACAGAAAACTTCCAGCACTAAGTGCATCTGTGCTGCATCTTCTCCACACAGCGGTATGACGCCACCCAGTGACATGCGTGCAGACCCTGAAGAGGAAGAACAGCTCGCGAGCTTAGACTCCAAAAAGTTCTGCCACATATCTAACTAGGCGTCTTTCCGCGAGTTACACAACCTCTTCAAAGACCAGTTTGCTATTCTGTACAGTGGGGACAGCACCACCTCATAAGTTGTGGAGAATTAAATCATATAATTGTCTCCCTTAAAGTGAGTGGCTCAACTTCTTTTTCCTTCCTCTCCCCCACAACCCACTCCCCGACACCTCATATCAAGCAAGAACTTTCTAAACAGGTTTGATGGAGGCTCCCAACTACACTGCACCCTTTGACAGATCTCTATGAAAAGGGACCAGGATTCAAGTACTTCAGCATCTACTGGCAGCAGAATTACCATGTAGAAAGTACTGTTCATTTCTGCCAACTCTTAGAATTTTCAGTTCTCTACACAACACTGAAACAAGTTCAAGATGGGCCAGGGAGCAGAAAGGAAAACAAAAAGAAAGTAAGTAGAGCAGACTACTAATCTGATCATGAGTAACCAAAAGTAAATAAAATTTCAGTTAAAGAATGTTACAGCATCCTTCTTTCTCACCTTCACAAATCATTGGCTCAATTGTAAAAACGTGGCCCGCCTTCATCACTCCAACTGCTTTATTTTCTGAAATTAAAGGAAAAAAGTCTCAAAACACAGCAAAAAACCACAGTGTTGAACAGCTCATTGGGAAGAGCACACAACTTATACTGCCATCAGTGATTCTTAATTACTTTCTCCTCTCCTGACTCCCCTTTCTTAAAGGAGATCACTCAACAAACAGGCATTTTACTGATAACTACTGATTTGTGGGCAGATATTGTCCAAGGCACATTCCATTCTTCCTATGTTTTCTCTAGGAACATACAGAGCTGTCCATAGGCTGGATTTCAGAGGTGGTTATCACTTCTATCAAAGGAAAAGTACCACCGATTGTGTTACAGCAGGATTCAATCGTGGAACCAAGCACAGTGCCAGTACTCATCTAGGCATAACAGTTTACAGGAGGACAACAGATGCTTCAGGTTACGCCAGAAGTCTCCTACCTCTTGGGGGTGGGGGGACACAGCCCACAGGAACAACTGCATGATTTTCACAGTTTGTACGTTGTCTTCATTTTTCTTATCTTCTAAGGGGAACAAAGCCTGTGCACACTAACCTATTTTTTTTAAATGCTGAAAAGACTATTCCTTTTTATTTGAAAACAGAAATTCCATTTCTCCCTCCAAACACTTTTTCAGCTTTTTGTGCAAGATTAATATGAGAGTAATTTTTCAGAACCATCGTAAGAAACACAACCATGAATTAAAGTATCCAGACCTGGCATCCCCCCAAAAAGGCCAGAATTTTAAAATAGAGATAGGCCTTTTTACACAATCTCAGACAGAAATGGAGAACCAGTTTAAATTTCCCATTAAAAAACAAGAACTAGTAAGAGCCTCAGTGAACGAGTGCCTGCATTTGCTCCGCCTGACCACCAGATAGCAGGCTTTCAGTGTTTCCTGGTAAGGTTGCTGGTCTTCCTGACCACAACTTGGGTAACGAATGACACATGGGTCCACTGAGGCTCACTCTGCTAAACGCCCCTCCTTCTGGGTACAACCTAGTCGCACCCACATGGGTATATTCCTGCACATCTATCCTGGTGAAGAGCTACGCGCTGCTTTCCACTATCTTAGGTATTGCCAAAATACACTTACTGCAGATTCCAAATCTGGAGTTTCTAAATTGTTATAAAATCTGAGAGGCAAAAATAATTTTGACTTTTTATTTCTAATCTCATGAACTTTCTCTCCAAATGACATCCATTTACTATACATATACAGAATTGGTCATGTTTCCTTGGGGATATCAAAATCTAATGGCAAGAGTGTCAGTGTGATGTCCTGGAAAGAAATAAGGACAGAGGAATGTAGAGCTGCGCTGCCCCATCCAGCAGCACGGGCGCCGGCGCCACTGAGCACCTGGAAAGTGGCTGGTCCAAACAAGCTAGGCTGTAAGTAAAAAACACGCCCATTTCAAAGACAAAAAAGCACATAATATACCTCAATAATTTTTACATTGATTAAATGTTGAAATAATATTTTAAATGTAATGGATTAAATAAAATATACTACTAAAATTACTTTCACCTATTTTTTTTACTTTTTGAATATGACCACTAGAAATTTTAAAATTACAAATGTGCCTCATAATATATTTCTATTGGACAGCACTGATACAGAGAATCTAAGTTCCACTCCTGTTTCTGCCACTGATTCATTATTCTAGAAAAGTTACAACTCCCACTCATCTCGACTCATGGTTTCAATTTCTCAACGTATCTCACTCAACAAATATATATTATCTGAGTGACTACACTATTGCAGACAATGTGCTAAGTACTTAAAAAAATTTTTTTAAGTGGTCTACCTCACAGAATTATTGTAATATACATTCTAAATGTACAGTATTATCATCATCTCCCAACCATAATGACTTAAACCAAGAAGCAAATAAATGCTCCTCTAACAAGGATTCCTCTTACATAGATGGGTGGAGGGAAGTTACACAACAACGTCCTGGCTCCACCCTCAGCTGGCTAGGAATATGGAGTTACAAGCCAAAGCAGAGATCATCACTTCCATTTCAAAAGGCCTCTGCGGTACAAAGATTCCCTCAGCAGTTTCCTTTAACACTTCCCTAAAGTGATCACCACATATTTTGATTTATATAAACCTGACTTTTCATAAACATATCAAATGTATGAAATGAAGTATACCTGGTCCTTGCTTCTTTTTTCAGAATTGTTTCTTATTTCTAATGAAATGGTTTAATATGAAACTCAAGTGGCATCTCTTGTATATCAGTGGCACAATATTTCGCTGACACCATCATCATTGACCCATATCCCATTCTCCCATAACAGTCTCTACATAATCCATACCTAAACCTGAGTTTGTCGTCTCTGCAAGTAAGGGGACTAGTTTCACTCCTTCCTCTGCACACGCTCTTTTTACACACACATGCATGCACGCACAGATCACCGTAATCAGAATAGCTTCTTCCCTTCTGTTAGAGGGAACGCACATCAGGTGACTACAGGGCTCACCGGGAAGGAATGAAGTCGGCTAATAATTTTCTGTTGCTAGCTTTTATTTCAAGCACAATTCACAGCTTAAATAAAAAGAACTATGTGGTCTGCTAATAAACACTCATTGATATATGCCAAATGCTGTGCTCTAAAGGACTTCTCCAGCTTCTGCTGAGAGCTTTCTCTCATCTCCCTTTCTCTTCACAACTACCGACGTGCAGGATTTGACCACCTCACACTGGACTAAGGCAACAACCGTGCATCGGGTTGACCAGCCTGGCGAGGCTGTACCTGCAATACATTCTAGACGCCGCTGCCAAATCTGTCTTCCAAAAATAGCAACTTCATCTTGCCATTCTGCCCAAAATTGTTTATGCAAATCCCTATAAATGAAGCCAAATATCCTCAGTCTGGCATTGCCTACTGCTAGTTCTTAACACATAATACTCAGCCCAAGCTTATCTCGTCTCTGTTCAGTCTCAACTCGAAGCACCCATCATGTTTCCCCTGCAACTGGAATGCTCACCCTCATCGCCACGAAACCAAACTCTCAGCCCTTCCTTATTTCTCCACAGGACCCAGCACCAACCTGCTGCAGTCCTTACTAGGCAATGCAAAGTACAGGAGAAAAGCCTGACTCCAGAAAGCCAGACAGAGCCCAGGCACCGGGCCTAGCCCTGGCATTTATTTACTAGTTAGTGTGAACTTGAGTAAATAAATACATCTCTAAGCACAGAATCTGCTTTTTAAAATAGAGGTAAGAAATTATTCATAGAGTTATGATGATCAAATGACATAATGTATATCATCGTCATCATCCTAAAAGTTAACATTAAAGTGCTTTCCATGGATTATCTCATTTAATCCTAATAACAGGTCTGGGGCGGGTGCATTCCCCACTATTGTACAGATGGGAAAACTGAAGCACAAGGAGATACATGAAAGTGTCTACACAGCAGTAGCTCATACATATTTGTTAAATTCCTTCTTAGGTCACTTATTGTGGACAGCCTTCATTTCCAGCACTAAATAAGAGACTTATTTCTGCATGCCTTACCTCTCTAAGAGAAAAGTTTTCTGGAAGGCACTAACTGCCCTACACTTCCTTTGTTATTCTACCCGACAGCACTCAACTTGAGGAAAGGTACTTTGTCTATACCCCTCTATTTACACCAAAAAATAATACAGTATCAGACACACACTAAGGACTCAAATCAAACCAAGCTAAACCAATTTCATTTAAGGAATCAGAATACTGATGCCTAGACATGTGGCTGACTGTTGGCTGTTCACCAAATTTGTTTACTTTTCTTCCAGAGTACTCAGCTAGATTACATTTCCCAACCTCTGTTGCTTTAGTGTAGCCATGTGACCAAATCTCTGCCAACGTAAAGTAAATGTAAGTGATTTATGCCAATTCCAGGCTGGCTTATTAAAACCTCCAAGCATACCCCTCCATGCTTCTTCTCCTCCTCCCCAGTATCTACAGATAAGGGGGACAACTCCCAAAGCGACCTTCTTGAAAGCTATAGGTTGAAGATGACAGAGGCTAGGTCACAGAATAACTGCCTCACCCCCCACAGTGAACAAACACACATGCTTTAGACTGTTATGTGAGCAAGATATGAATGTGTATTGCGATAAGCAAATATACATTTGGAGGGTCTATTTATAACACCTAATAGATTAATAAATACAAAATAGGAGGTCCTATTAAAAGTTTAGATAAATATTTGTTGAATAAATGGTTAGCAAATACCAAATCTTTGGATGGTACTTACTGGCATAGTGGGGAACATTGGGGGCTGTATGAAAAAGCTTGTGGATTCCATGCCCACAATAGCTTCGAACAACTGAAAACCCATTTGCTTGGGCATGCTTCTGAATAATGTTTCCCAATTCTCTGTATCGAACGCCAGGTTTCACTGAAAAGAAAAGAGAAGGCTCATGACAAAGAGTAATAATACCTAACATTTACTAAGCAATGTACCATCTAACTGCCAGGAACCTTTCTGAATGCTTTATATGCCTACAAGCTGAAACTTGCAGATGACAAAACCGAGGCATAGAGAAGCTACACTGCCAGCAAATGGCAAAGCTGAGATTCAAACCAGTAGCACCTCTACTTCCTCCTTTGATGCAGAAGACACGTGCGCAGTACTAAGGGGCTGGGGGGAGGCACATTTGCTTTCTGAATAAACAAGAGAATGGAAAACACACATCTCTTCCTCTCCTTCCCAGAGCCTGGCCATCTTCTCAAAGAACTGCTTCCCCTGAGCTTCTTTACTCCTATAAAAGTGCTTCTCAAATTATGCACAGTTGCCTCTGCAAAAGGTCCTGGAGGTAGGGTACAGAAAGGTACTTCTCACTAAATATTACCTCCCCTGTTTACTTTTTATGACTTTTACCACTGTTTCAATAAAAACCAAAACAGAAGTGGCTCTCTTTGCTATTATGACTCTCCTAGCACTGAGACCCCAGGATCTGGCTGCTGCCTGACTCCTGAGGATTCCAGTCGTGATTCTGGGGTCCTCCAACTCCCTACCATCTCCTACTCTGCCCATCTGATTTCTAACCTGAGGTTCAGGTACAACATATCTTCTCCAGCCAATCAAACTGCTGGGCAAACAGCTCATGGAATCATTTTAATTAACATTTACTTGCTCTTAACCATACATTCAAGTTTAACTTCTTTGGGGGGTGGAAGGATAACAATTTTGAGGAACCATGTTGACTTCCATACTGATTTTCTTGCATTCCCATCCACGCCTTCCCATTAGCCCGAGGAGGTGGAAAAGAAAGCAAAATTTAACCCAGGTTACACAGTATACAATAAAGAAAACCACTGTTCAACGATAACGAGGGAGGGTGAGAAAGGAGATGCCTCCCTAATTCTCAAAGCAGAGGCAATTCTGGTCCCACGAGTGCATTTCGCAATATCTGGGGACATTTTTGGTTGTCACCACTAAGAGTGGTGTTGCAAGTGGCATCTAGTGGGTACAGACCAGGGATGCTAATATGCATCCCACAACACACAGGACAGCCCCCACCACAAAGAATTATCAGACTCAAAATGCCATCAATGTGCAGGAGGAGAAGCCTAATAAGCAGGCTCATTTCAGCAACTGGCCAGCCCTCCCGTGCTCTGCACCACAGCAGGCGGCTACATTAGTGCAAGATAAGGGGCCGAAATGACACATACAAAGGTGTATTTTAATAGCACTTTCCAGAGATTAACCAATTTTTGTTCTTTCCTGCCTACTATTATGAAGATTTTGGTTTCTGGTAGTTTCCTGGCAAGTTTTATTCCTGTGTCTTTGTAAAACAACATCCCAGCTGTCTGACTATTTCAATCAACTCACAGAAAAGCAAAAAGGATATAAACATTGAACACATTATTTGGCAGAAACCCTAAAAATCATTTAAAACTAAAGCTTCCACAAATGAGAAACTAAACACTAAAGTGTTCATTTGACAATACTACCAAGAATATTAAAGGTTTTACATAATCAAGAGTAATAAGTAAAATCTCACATATTGATACATGAAAATATCACATGCTTTCATTTTCCATTCCTCCAACTTTATTAAATTAGTAAATTTCACCTCCCATGCATGTTAAATGGACTAAAAACAACCACAATAATGAATCTACATTATTAGAGATAACTATATGTTTGCCTAAGAACCCTGTCCTGTTCAATACTTTGTTGATGATATAGCAGGTTTATTTGGGGGGGCGAGGTGCAAATAATACACTGAACAATTAAAGTTGAAATGCTGTGAATTTCAACTGAAAAGTTGTGTGCCCTCAAACTGTCCTTTTAGTAATAGTCTGTTAACATTTGCAACAAGCCTTTCCTTCTCTCTCCTCACAAGATAACAGCAAAAATCAAAAAAATCTGGATGAATTCTGATGTATGGACAAAGATAGCCTGACAAAAATCCTACAGAAATATGCCTCTACCCAAAGATATTATTCACTACAATATCAAGACATCTGGAAAACACCAAAATCCAGTATGGGAATGGTTGTAGAAAGTTTTAGACTATGGAATATGTAGATCTATGCATGCAGGCACATACACTAATTTGGAAAGATCTCTAAGATATTGTTAGTTTAAAAAGTACCAAATTACAGAATACTACAAATAATATGATTCCATTTAACCTAACTAGCACATACACATAGGCATGTGTGCATGTGTGTGTGTGTTAATGCACCGGGGAGAAAAAACCTAAATGTTAAAAGTGGATGCCTCTGGAGAAAAGAAATACGAAAGGGAAAGAGGAGGCACAAGTGTAAAGGAGGACCATTCACTTTTCTCTCATCATCTAGCATCTTGTTTTAATTTTTTACAATGAGAACACAGTACTTACAAAAGAATAAAAAAGTAGAAAAAGGGCCGGCCCAGTGGCGTAGCAGTTAAGTGCGTTCTCCGCTGCGGCAGCCCGGGGTTCACAGGTTCGGATCCTGGGCGTGCACCTACACACTGCTTGTCAAGCCATGCTGTGGCGGCGTCCCACATAAAGTAGAGGAAGATGGGCACAGATGTTAGCCCAGGACCAATCTTCCTCAGCAGAAAGAGGAGGATGGGCATTGGATGTTAGCTCAGGGCTAATCTTCCTCACCAAAACAAAAAAACAAAAAAAAAAAAGTAGAAAAAAAATTGCACTCAAGAACTATCCATACATTCCTCCTCATTTATCAGCCAGAGCAAAAGAAGATAAATCACAGAAGAGACAAAGGCTGATAAGCAATCATCCGGTCCATCCTCATCAAGGGATTCCCAAAACATCCTTAAACCCATTCCTGCTGAAACCCAGGTAGGGAGAGACAGAGCTGGCGGGGAAAAGGCGCGCCAGGGCAGTGCAAGTCACCAAGGCCCATCCACACACAGCAGCTCCCGCGGCCCCTGCTCTGAGGCTCACCTGCATCGATAGCTTGCATCAGGCACTCATACGTGGTCTGCACCAGTTTCCGTGCTCCCTCATCCACATCTCCAACAAAAAATGTCTCATTCAGGTCCCCGTGATAACCACTGCGATAAAGAGTGATGTCCACTACAAAAAAAAAAGTGTGAAAATATAAAGATCACTTTGTTTTTATTTCAAATCTGAAGTCGAGTTTCTCCAACATCACAGCATCAAGCAGTTTAACAAGAAAGAAAACTTCTGCATTCTCAAATCAGATACCAGCGGATACAGAGTTATTGCCCAACGAGACGCTCCCTGTCTGTAATGCAACTAAACCCACTGTGGAGAACAGGGACAGGTCATGCAGCACAAGCCAGACAGTGGGCTTTTATACCCTTACAGTAGTAATTCGATCATTTACGGCAGAAGAAAAATGAAGCAAGGATACACTCATGCAAGGTCAATAGCCCGTGTTAATAACACTAAATGCAGGACTTTGCTACATTTTGACATTACAGAGAAAATACTGCTTTCACATATTATCTTTAACGAGTTTTTTTTCCTCCTAGTGAATCAAGAAACAGAAAAATACACTATTTCACACTTATTTTTCAAAAACTCATTTGCCTTTCACTTATTTGTGAATATCCATCCTTCTCTTTGTCCCCATGTTTAAGAATACAGATTTCAATCACACCCCTATAATACACAAAATGTATACTAGAGGGCACACGAAATGAGTATTCTTAAACCAGGAATTTTCAATCAACCTACAGTATTGCAGTATATGTGCTGGCTCTAGCACAACACACACATTCCTGAAAAAACTAATGCATATGCATATAACAAAAATAACGGGGTTTATATGAAAAACAGGGTTGGGCAGACCCCTCAAAACCTATGGAACTTTATAAACAGATACTGTAACTAAAGCAATAAAAATGCAAATAAAAACAGTGTCAGTTAAGTCTCCGCTACCATTCACAGCCAGCAACACGGTCAGCACATTCTCTGCAGCATTTAACACTTGGGCTCATGCTTCCTTGTTTGATATGTAGGTCCTTGAAGGTATCTCATTACTCAAGAGACCAAGTTCACCAATATTAAAAATACCACCTAGGGGAGCCTTCTCCATCAATACTTTTTTTTAATCACAAAGGGAAATGTCTTGGCAGCTTCTTCCTCTGCACATGCAGCTTCCCAAGACAGCTTAACTTAGTGGTCCTTAAAGCCACTTTCCGAATTTCTTACATCAAAGAAAACACTTCTGCAGAATTTTCAGCTTTTTTCTTACGATCTTCATATATTACTATGGATTTCTCTTTATATGTAAACAAGCCTGCCCTGATCTCTTCAAAACCATTAGTGGAAGGAAAAGAAAAGAAAATCCTACTTGAATTAACATTACTTTCACATGTCACTGACATTTTTCACCTACCTATCACATATGATAATCTGTATTAAAAAAATATATGCTGTACCAAACACATCACAACAGAAGTATCTTAAAAGCAGTATCTTAAAACCATAAAAAAGGTCTCCACAGATTTAAGATTTTAAATTTTAAATATGAAAAAAGATAAGCTAAAGACAGGAAGCAAGTGAAGAAAAACACAAGTCACTATCAGACTCCCAAAACCTTGTTTTCTTTACTCACGGTGACAAAAGTCACACTTACATATTTCTTACCGTTAACAATATCACCTTCTTGCAAGGGCCGTCTGTCTGGAATCCCATGGCAGATCACTTCATTCACTGAAGTACAACAAGACTTTGGGAAATTATAATAATTCAGGGGAGAAGGATAGCAATTTCTTGCAATGCATGCCTACAATAAATTAAAATACAGAGAAAATAATTTGGAATGTGCAAAAGAAAAAAATTAAGCTGTATGCAGTTAACTAGATTTTAAAATTTGAAAAGTGTAAAAAAATTTGTTGTACAGAGGCTCATAATGAAGAACTTATTTAATATGTTATTTTTAAAATAGTAGTAGATATTAAACTGTAGGGTTTGTGCCAGCGAGATAGACTGTAGGCAAACCAGTTTACAAAGGAAAACCAAATTCACATATTACAAATGTTACTATATGAAGATTCTAGTTTAGAATTAACTACTCCTTATGAAAAATATATTAATGAAAACAAAAAGATAATATTTAAACTCAATATTAACATGTGCTTTTAATGTAATTATAACTTCTTGTATACAGATAAGCCTATATCCCTATGACCAAAAAATGAATACTAGTATAATTAAGAGATGGTAAAGTACTTCCAGAGACACTGTAACCACTACGTTCATGTGCAACAACAAAAGAATCTCTAAGAAAATGGTCTGGTTTTCCATAATAAGTCTTATTTTACTTGGATGTTTGCACAGCAGCAGTCACAGCATACACAATTTCTCTTTCCATTCTGCCACACAGTCTTCAGACTAATAATTTTTAAATAGTTGCACATAATACAATTTGTGCAATATACCATAATTTTACTGGCAATTCCACTATTATTGGAAATTTAAATTAAGTTTCCTCAATTACAAAAACTATTACAGACAAGAGCTACCTGCCTGTCACTATTCCCTTGTTTAATGATAAACTTCTATACTTCTCACAGCAGTATCAACAGTAGTGAAAAGCACACAGAAGCAGATGGTCTTCACTGAAAATGCCAACACCGTCACTTACAAGCTGTGTAAACTTGCATAAGTTAATTAACCTCCCTCTGCCTCAGTTTCCTTATCTATAAAGTGGAGATGATAGTATCTACCTCATAGAGTTTAAATGAGTTAGTACAAGAAAACGTTAAAAGGGCACCTGGCCCATAGGAGAGCACTCAAAATGCTATCATAGCATACCATATATTTTATAACATATGGAACAATACTCAAAAATCAGGATTTATAAAATTCTGAATACAAAATTTTATAAACATTTTTATAGCTCAAGACACACTGTCCAATTTCCTTTGAAAAGGGTTGTCCCAATTCACAGTACCACCCTCACGTGAAAGAGAACCAGTTTCATCATCTCCACATAGGCAATGGATATAAACCTCTTTAAAATAGTTACTAACATAGTAGGTCTTTATGATTTGCATTTGTCTGATTACCAGAGCAGGTTTAATTAGTCTTCCATATGATTTATTAACTAGTTACTGCTCTTCCTTTGTGATTCATATAATGTGTGTACTCCTCTACTACAGGGTTTTAAGGTCTCTCCTTGATAGACAGGTGATCTTTATAAAACGGCACCCCTATATCACGTTCACTACAAATATTTATCTGGTCCGCTTATTGCCTTGTTACTATGGATATGAAAGGGCACCTTTTTTCTACTAATCTAGTTTTAGAAGTTGTATTCTTTTTTATTTCAGAATATTTGATGTATGGTAGTGACAAGATTTATCTAAATCACTAATAAAATTAATCATTTTATAAAAGCTAAACCAAAATGTTATGAAATGTGAGGTTTCAGAAACAAGATATTTCAAGCTCACCTCAGACCTCAATATCATGGATACTTAAAGACAGGGATAATGATTCCTGTTGAATATTTTCTATATTTGAAACAAAGTAAAAATCTGCTTTCAAATTAGCATAGCCATGTTACTTTAGACATTAAGAACTTAAGTTTACTTAATTTTTAGAAGTCTAAAACATCTAATGTTAAAAAAATTTTCAAAGCATAAAAGTAGAAGTTCTTACTAAGTGTACAGCATGATCTATTTCCTCAGTAGTCACACCCGGTTTAATCATCCCAGCAGCGATGTCCAACACTTCCCTAGCAAGCTGTGCAAGACACAACACATCAAGAAGAAATGAAACAGAAATAGAAATCTGTACCCTTCATAACTACCTTAGATTTTGTGAGAGATGCATAAAATGGATCTCACCTTGAAAATTGTAATCCTGAATTTTCATTTCAAAACCATTTGTATTTCTAACGCCCATCAGTAAATGTGTGTGTGTGTAAATATACAAATAAAATTGGGCTAACCAGCAAATAGCTTAATAAGTAAGCTTGACTGGTTTCTATATGAAAATGCACATCCTAAGTAATCTAAACATCGATCAACTGATGAAGGTTGAGTCATCTCAAATTTCTACAATGGAGAGGGAAGGGAAGGGAGAAAAATAAGAGAATACACAAATGATTTTCCTCAAAGAATCAAAGCAAATAAGTGATAGAAATACAAATTTCTCTAGATTATCAAGGAAAATTAGCATCAAATCACTTTTAAGCACTGAATAAAAACTTTAAGGATCATTTCTAAATGAACAATATCCATGATTTTTCTTTAGAAAAATATAAACATGATTTCACCTAGTAAGTACCAGCCACTACTACCATACTTCATAGGTATTTCCCAACAGGAGCTTTAGCTTAACTTTATTATAGCCTTAAACTTTGCCCTATGTCACGATGACTCATGAAAATAAAATGACAGAGTATTATAAAAACCTGGTTCTTTAAAAAAAATACAAGAGATAAAAGAAATAGACTGTCAACGAAATATAGATTACCTGCCATATTAATTCTCAAATAGGCTCTTTACGTAGAAAACAACTGCTACACAAAACTATGTACTAACAACAGTTTAATGAAAAGTAAGGATGGCTAGTCACAGTCTCACAGGGTAACATCTGCTACCTCTGTAAAGGAGCAAATCACTGACTTCATGTCTAACACCCGCTTAAATGTGTCTTATCCCACAGGGAAAAAATACCTCTTACCCTACACACGACTCGCATCCCTTCTATATCTTCAGATGACAGCAATTTAATTTGAGAAGTGCCTTTAAGAGCCTGTTCAGATTCAGACATTCCTGGAAAGGAAAATCAGTGAGTAAAACCAAAATGAATGGGAAGATGTGTTTATTAGCATAATTATCTCCTTGATGACAAAATAATAGTCAAATCTCACTATTTCACACGATCGTATTTCATAATTTGGGAGGGTCCAGGTCAGATTTTTTGAAAAAATATTTTCAATATGAAAAGTAAATTTGGTAAAAAAAAAATTGAAGGAAGAATTCTAAAGAAGAAACTTCCAGATCTAGTAGAAATCAGTCAATACAGAGTACTTACTATATGACAGGCAATGTGGTAATAAGATCAGTAAATAAACTGCTTTCATGATCATCATCTCATGAAGCAACAATATACCAACAACTGACGAATCAATTACACTCATTTATTTCTTTAAATAGGAACCTAAAGTCAGTATTTTTCAAACTGCAGTTGGTGACCCTTCAGTGGGCTATGACTAACATTTTTTTAAAAGTAGATAAACAGAATAGAAAATATTAGACTACATCATACAGGGTAGGGGTAAGTTGTTGTGAAATGTTTATTAATTTATACACACACATATATATATACAAATCACATTATAAAATACATTTCTCACTCTGGGTCATAGTCAAAAAAGTTTGAAAAATATTGCCCTAAGAACCTTCACTAATAAAATTAGCTTAATTTAAGTTATTCATACATTTAAAAGTAATTGAAGCCAGCCAGTATAATAATTATTTCAAAATCTGACAAAAAGAATATAACCATAAACTAATCTTTTTTATAAATACTGATATAAAAATTCCAAATAAAGTATTATCAAACAGAATCCAAAAAATATATTAGCCATAGATTAAGGAAGGAAAAATAAATAAATGATCATCTAGGAAGACAATTCTCATAGCGTGGCCAGCTACCACCTTTACATGGTAATTATAAATCTCAAGTCAAGAAGCAACATCATGGATGCTCACTATCAATACTATTATTTAACACTGTTCTGAGGGTACTAGCAGATGCAATTAAACAGGAGGAAAAAAAAATAAGACATATAAGATTAGAATGAAAAGTACAAAATTCTTGTCAATTTCAGATACAACTATACATATCCCTAGAACAAGGGAATACCTGGTAAATGACGATCAAGAAAAATGCAGCAAGTTAGCAGAGTGTAAGATAAACATATGAAAATCAACAACTTTTCCATATACAAACAGCAAGCTAGGAAATACAACAGAAGATACTAGTCACAAGAATAACTAAAAAAGATAAAATATCCAAGCACAAACTTAACTAAGACCTAATGAAGAAAATTTGAAACCACTACTAAAAGACATAAAAAGAGACTTAAATAAAATAGAAAAACATACCCTGTTCTTGGATAGGAAGACTCAATATTGTAAAGGTGTCAATTCTTCCAAAATTAGTCTATAAATTTAATACTATCCCAATAAAAAATGGCAACAGGATATTTTTGGGAACCAGACAAGCTGATTCTAAATTTCACATGGAAAAACAAACATGCAAGAATGGCCAGGAAAATTCTGAAAAAGAGGAAAGGTGGGGGCAACAAGGCCTACCAAATATTAAACATCATATAGCTACAACAATTAAAGAGTTTGGCAATGGCACATGATTAGACAAATGGGTTAATGAAACAGAATAGAATCCAAAAATAGACCCAAAGACATGTGAGAATTTAATATAATGAAATAGGTTGCATTTCAATCAGTAAGAAAAGGCCTGAATTTTTTAAATAACTAGTGATATGACAACAACAATAACTAGATATTCTTCTGGGAAAAAAATTAAGTTGCATCCCTATTTTAAGTCCTAATAAGTTTCAGATGGATCAAAAATTTTATCACACACAAAAAAGAGTGAAACCATAAAAATAGTGGAAGAAAACATGGGAAAATATTTTTATAATCTCTGAACCAAAAAGGTCTTTCTAGATCATAAAGCCATAGACACCTTAAAACACTGATAAGTTTTATTAGAGAAGCACGTTGAAATTTTGTCATACATGTAATGCTATCAACAAAGACAAAACATAAATGCTCACTTGGGAAAAAACATTTATAGCAGACACATCAAAGGATTATTTTCCTTAATACAGAAAAAGCACTTATAAGTCAGTATGGAAAAAACTAGTAATCTATCGAAAAAAAAAAAGCCTTAAGGATATGAATAGACAGCTCAAAGGAAAGAGAATACAAATGACTTTTAACATAAAAAAAGATGCTCAACTACTCATAATTTAAAAATGCAAATTAAAATAACAGCAAACTACCATTTTTCATCTTTCAGATTAGCACAGATCATAAAACTTGATAACACGCTATGCTGGGGAAGAAAGAGGAAAACAGATTCTCATACGTTTTTAATGGGAGTAACAACTGGCAACATCTCTGAAATGTGTAGTATCTCTCAAAATAAAAAATGCATGTATCCTTTGATCCAGCTCTTTTACTTGGGGCAATTAACCTACAGAAATACTCTCACATGTGCACAAAGATGTAATTACAAGAATAGTTACTGTAGTCAAATTGGTAGAAGAGAAAAACCTGGAAATAATCTAAACATACATTAGTAGGAGCCTGGTTTAATAAATTATGATACATCTATACATACTTCAGTCATTAAAAAGGACTGGTTTTATATGGGCTTATACAGAATATTTCCAAGATATAGTAAGAGAATATAACAAGGTGAAAAGCTATATATAGCTTGTTCCTTTTGTGTCTAATTGGGGGGGAGGGTGTTAATGTGTGCACATACATAAAATACAAGATCTCTGGAAAGTTCCACAAGAAACTTAACAGTGGTTACCTCTGGGGAGTAGGAGTTACTTTTCACTATGTAACATTTTATCCTATCAGAATTTACCTTGTCTATGTATTTGTCAAAAACGCAATTCAAAACTATATTCAAGAATATAAATAGAGAGCAATGAAATTATATATCCTCAACAGTATTCTATTATTCAGACTGTCTTTTCCTTCAATTTATCTGAAATAGTCCAGTTCAACCAAATTTTAAAATTATATTCATAAGAACTTAATGCCATTCCCCACTTAGAGAACAAGGCAAAAGCAGCTTAATTTAGTAGATTAAACCACATGAAAATGCTGACATTCAACCATTTTTGACATCAAAATCAGTAATTTCACATAGTCCAACTTAAGTTACGTGTACAGACCCCTAGGTCAGAGACTGCCCCACTAACCTGGGCTGTAATTACCTATCTTCTCTGGGCATCTCACTATCATTATCTAGAAAATGGAGAAGCCAACAGAACCCACCCCAGGAGGGCTGCAAGTATTCAATAGAAGGACATATGGAAAGAACTCAGCACAGAACCCAACACACAGTTATGAAAAAATAAATGTCAATTACAGAATCATCACCATTTCTACTACTTCTATTACTGCTACAGCCCAGGGTCTTCAGTTAGGCATGCATTCGAGGCCGCCACAATCTGCTTTTATCGACACAGATACGATTTAATTAAGGTAGGAGGACATGTGAAAATCAAAACTATTTTTTAAATCTAGAATTTGATATAACAACACAAAATACAATATTATGTTGAATGTAGCCTTTAACAGCTACATAAACGATGTTTTCAGAATTGGGTAGATTTCTAATGGGAGGAAAGAATTTTCCAGTGTCTTTAAAAAAACATGTTTACATTTATTAGAAATCCAGCACCGAAAAATTTCTACAAAAAAAGCACTGCTTTGCTTTGCAGTAGTCATCAAGCCCACAAATCGAAAAATGAAGAATCAGCATAGCAGAATTTACCTAAAGGGTGATCAGCATAATCTGGTCTTTGAATATAACTTGGCACTGGCCTTGTTGGCATCTAAAAACATCAAAGAGGTTAGTTAAAACCGATTCAAATATGAAAGTAACTTTCATTATTAAAATTTACTAACAAAATTTCCGTGGGGAAAAAAGCACTAACTTTTCTTGTTCATTCATTTCATTTAAATTAAAAAAGAAAGTTTTCAATGACATCTTAAATATCATATCTATTTCATAAAGTTAAGCACTACTTTCCTAGTGCTAATGCTAAATATCTTAGGATATTTAAGATGGTAGGAGAGCGGCCACGGCCATCAAGGATTTAAGACTACACGCAGACAACAAGGTGCCCCTGTTGTTCCAAATAAACTGGCAAACGAGAAACAACAATAAAATACCGTCTTAAAGTAAACACACACTAATATGTTCCTGGTCATTATCTCTGGGAGGTAGGATTAAAGAGATTTTCTTAAGTTTTTGACATTTTTCCAAATTTTAAAAATTAAAGAGAATTTAAACATTTAAGGATTACAAATAGTTTTCTTTTTTTTTTAATAATTTTATTTATTTATTTATTTATTTTACCCCCCAAAGCCCCAGTAGATAGTTGTATGTCATAGCTGCACATCCTTCCAGTTGCTGTATGTGGGACGCAGCCTCAGCATGGCGGAAAAGCGGTGTGTGGGTGCGCACCCGGGATCCGAACCCGGGCCACCAGCAGTGGAGTGCGTGCACCCAACCGCTAAGCCACGGGGCCAGCCCACAAATAGTTTTCAACTTAAGTAGATTCCTATGTTAAGACGCTGAAGTCCGTATGCCAAGAACACAGGAAGGGGTGGGAGTGGCAGAAAAGCCCTATCTAAATTAAGGTAGAAATATATCACATTAAAAAAAATTTAGAGGGGCCAGCCCGGCGGCGTAGTGGTTAAGTTCACGCGCTCTGCTTCAGCAGCCCAGGGGTTGGCAGGTTCAGATCCCGGACACAGACCTACACACCACTCATCAAGCGATGTTGTGGTGGCATCCCACATACAAAATAGAGGAAGATGGGCACAGATGTTAGCTCAGGGCTAACCTTCCTCAGCAAAAACAGAAAAAATTTAGAAAAGCAGTAATATATACACTATCATTGTGCCAGCCAGAAAATATCTATTCTACCTCATTCTTTTTTAAGATTAAAGAAGTTTTAATCCTTTCATCTAAATTTTTTCCACTTTGTTCATGATTCCAATTATCCCTATTAACTTCCAATTAATGTACCATAAAAGCTAAAGAGCTAGAACATAAACTTAATCCTGATTACATGATTCATAATTGGAATACAAATTACAATATCACTTTTAGGAAACTGAAAATTGGTTTAAAAGAATGTTAAATTTTTATTACCTTATTTACTCACCAGTGGATAATGTGGTCTGAGTTTACCAGTATATCGATAACCTGCCCATGGGTCAGTGTTAATATCACCTTCTACCATCCAGGAAGACACTTCTCGCTTGGCCCGTTCATCTTCTGGGAGATGGATGGATGGGAGAGAGAGAAAGAAATGCTTCAGCGGTCAAGCTACTGAGCAGCAGCACACTTTAACTATCACTCGTGTGAAAACCAAGCCAAAGGGCCTAGGCACAAAATCCAGACAACTTCCACCTCATCTAAATCACCAAAGCTACTGCTTCCTTGCTATGCTGACAACCCTACAACTCCTCCAAGATCTGTCTTGGGAGAAAAAGCCTAAGCTAAACATATTCTAAGTTTTCACATAGTATTCAATAGGAACAGCTCATAGTAGAACACCTTTTCTCAAGTAAATGTTAAAGGTATTCTCTCTACAATGTCAATTTATAGGAAGCATATTTTCTGAAATATAAAATCTGAACCTAGGGCCGCCCGGTGGTGTAGTAGTTAAGTTTCGCTCCACTTCAGCTGCCCAGGGTTCAAGGGTTCGGATTCTGGGCACAGACTGACGCACTGCTTGTCAAGTCATGCTGTGGCAGCGTCCCACATAAAGTAGAGGGAGATGGGCACGGATGTTAGCTCAGGGCCAATCTTCCTCAGCAAAAAGAGGAGGATTGGCAACAGACGTTAGCTCAGGGCTGATCTTCCTCACAAAAAAAAAAAAATCTGAACCTAAGCAAAACTTCTCAACCAAGAGCAGATTATTACAAATAGATTCTGTGCTCTTACTTTAGAACAGATTCTAAATAACCTGAAAGCAAATTTAAAGTAAAAAAACAAAAATTTCCCAATTAGCTGATGCATGGCTTTCAAGTCAATATTTCAGATTGCTTTGAAAACTTTATGAGCATCATTTGTCTTTTTTCAGGAAGTGGGTAACAGAAGGAGGTAGGAAAAGGCAAAGATAAGAGGAGGGAACAATCAACAGAAGGTTACTGAAAACTCATAGAAAAATGAAGAAAAGAATCTCACACACACACACACACACCCCTACCAGGTTAGTTATTAATACATCATGTTGTATTAATGCACCTGAGATGCACCTAAGAATCCTTCTCACACAGAACAGACCCTCATCAGTGTGCCTGATGTCAGCACACTGACTGCATCTCTTATCCACAAAGTAAAACTACTAACTTCAAACTTGAAACAGCAGAAATTCAAATCCCTCCCATACCAGGTATCAACCTATACACCTCCCAGTGCACACCCATCTTTTCCTGATTACTGTCATGCTATCATAGGTTTTAAAAGTCAGAATTCAGATAATTTTAGAAGTATATAAGAAAAATAAAATTCCCTCTTTAAACAATCTATTTAAAATATGAACTAGAGAAGACATGGAATCATATCATGTTAAGCTAGAGAGGAATGGTAAAATGGGTGCAGGTGGTCAAAAGGTGCAAAGTTCCACTTATAAGATAAATAAGTTCTGGGGGTGTAACATACAGCATGGTGACTAGAGTTAACAACAACAAAAAGACAACGTAGTCTAATTTTCTCTTTTTCAGATGAGGAAACTGAAGCGATGTGATTCCCATGGCAGAGATGTGGGAATGCTGGTTCCCAGCCCAGTACACTCTCCACAGAACATGTGGTCAACCTGGGATGAAAGGTCCTTGAGGTACAATTGACAAGAATGCAAAAATACAGCCCATCCATTCACATGACTTGAGAAGAGGACACAACTATAATATTACACATAGAGTAAAGGAAGAGAATGGAGTAAGAATAGTAAATCAGCACGAGAACAGAAAAAGAAAAGAAAAGCTCTACTACGCTGCTGAATTTTAAATATCTTTCTCTCCTCTGGAGTTCAAGAAAGCCACCGTGAATGTTAATGTCAACAGGAAAACTGTTTCTCATCCCAGGACAAAAATGGACTCCATTCATTGCATCTAGGGTCAAATATTACAGAAAACAGTTTGAAATGCGGGCCAACTGATGCCTGCTTCAGCTATGAATTGCATCAAGTGCTGTTGCCTGAAAGGTGAACCGCAAGAATAATGTTCACCCGAAACCTAGGACAGACTAGCCATCAAGAGGCAGGCCTTTTGTTTTAACACACTCTGGGGAGCGAGCAGAGAAAAGGAAGGATGTAAAATCTTTCAAAGTCTCCTGCTGATCTGCATTCTGAACTTTCCACAATCTATTTTCAAAAAAGAATTGAAAGCAGACCTCGAACAAATAGTATAACCCAAAAGCTATCTAGACAAGCCAGACTGAAATATGGTAAGTTCTTTTCTAATCTCTGGGTATAACTTACTTAGGGAAATTTACCAAAAGTAACAGTTTACATTTTAGGATCAATTTGATCTAAGCCCTAAATCCTAGGCATATAGCAGACACCTAATAAATATGAACTGGACTGGGGTTGGTAACAAAGCTACATACTAACTGTTCTTTTTCAAAGACTGTGAAAGCACAGGACAGTGCAAATAAACACCTGTAAGCTGTCTTTCAAACATCACAGTGCAACAGGGCCAGGTAAGCTGCAGGTAGTGTCAAATAGTGAAAGGTCTGGCCCCAAGTACATCACACCCAAGCTTCATTCTTCAAAAGGTTCTGTGTGGGCTGCCTCCTCCAGTCAGTTGACACAGAACACTGCACATGTCTAAGGTTCGCCTGCGACAGCATTTTCTGATCACAATCCTAACTCTGTTCCTCCAGAGATGATTACTAAATAGTTGTTGAGCAATGACTATGCACTATACATATGCTAAGCACTTTACATGGATTTGTTTCTGTAATCCTCACAACAGACCTACGATTTCAGCACTTTGGAGGTGAGGCTTAAAGTAATCCAGCTCACAATGCTTGGTGAAACTAGTTCTGAAATATTACATAACACCTCCTCTCTGCAATCCAATAATCAAGCACACTGGTTTGGAACGGTAGAGGAGTAGAATAAAAAGTATTATTTAGAATTTTTTTAACAGTTTTTATATCACATTTTTGGCTATTCAAAAGGTACTTGTCAAATGCTTCCACCTTCTACTTTAGGAAAATGGGAGACAAAGAAACACACTGAATGTATCAGTGATACGTTAAAAGAGTGCAGGATAACATAGTATTGAGATGTGAAGTGCTACATCTTGCACAGTTCAGACTAAAGCAAGTGCTACGACATACACTCTGGCAGGAGATGAGTGTGGAGATACCCACTCAAGCATCTCATCTGCACTATGTGCGTTTAAGGGCTTCACAATCTAACTGGTCTTATTTACTATGACACATAAGAAATAAATTCTGCCCTTGAGTTATTTATGTAACTCATACATGAAATTTTCCTGAGGCCTGATTAGCCTCTGCAATCAAGAAAACTCCAGGTCCAGATGGTTTCACTGGTGAATTCCACCAAACATTTATGGAAGAAATAATACCAGTTCTACACAACCTCTTCCAGAAAATAGAAGAGGAGGAAACATTTCCCATTTTATGAGTCCAGGAATATTCTGACACCAAAACCAGTCAAAGATATTAAAAGCAAGTTACAGACCAATATCCTACACGAACACAAATAAAAATCAGGCATCCTTAGAGATCAGCACACATTACACTTAAAAAAAGACTGAGTATATTATCTTCATGACATGAACTGCTTGCTATCTGTAATCTCACTATTGTTTCTTGGAATAAGGTGCCATCTTTTAAGGTGCCCTGGTTCCTTCCCAGCCCAACATTTGTTTCCCCTAAACCCTCTCCCCATACTTTTCTTAGCTCTGGAGATCAGCCCTCCCCACACCATTCCCCCCTCTAGGACTGTCTTCCACATGCTGTAGTCGGGGTCAATTTATTAGGATGTGGAAGGTACAGGGCTGGCCAGCTGAGGGCTGTCTCCATCCAACACAGTCCAAAGGGATCCAAGAACATGAGTCTCAACCCCTGAAGAAAATCATCCCAAAAGATCCAAGAGGACACCATCCAAAAGACGGCACTCAACACTAGAGGTATAAGTAAAACCAAACAGTCTCAGTCTGATGCAGTAATAATTATGTTCTTTTTACTTAGGAAACATCAACTGTCTAATTCTCTTGTAGTGTAGGTCATAATGAAATACTCTACCCTTAGGAACCCAGTATTGAAGAAAGCAGCACACTTCAATGAGTTAGCGAACGCCTGAGGTAGAGACCCATCCCGAAAACATACTGTTTCACCTCAACCCTTCACTTCCCTATGCTTTAACTTCCTGGCTATAAAATGTTAATAATTGGCTCAAAAAGCTCTAAAAATACCTATCACATTAGAAATAGAGTATTTAAAGTATGAGTAAATAAAGTTAAATGGCATTATTTAAACCATAAATTATCTCTACACTTTGATTTAAGGTAACAAATCCTACCATTTATCCTTTGATAATAACACTTTCATTTGTTCACAATCATTTTTCCTCATCTCTAACGACATTTCCTATCACAATAGCCTAGCAGTTTCCTTAAATGTAGACTTCACTTTACACAACCACAGAAAACACCTTTTTAAATTTTTATTTCCTTTTCCTTCAAACAGTAGTTAACCTGACCTCAATGCAATTTTAAGAAATATATATAAATAATATATATAAATTATATACATAAAACAGTCTACCAAACTTTATTAAATCAGCAAATTCCTAAAAAATATACAAGTAGATGAATAAAAAATACCAAGATCAACAAGTTGAAACAGAAAACTTATACCAAGAACCATGTGCTGTCTCCCAAGCCTTCACCCATCAGAATGGCAACGCTAAAGAAGAGAAAGCCCTGTCAATTTTCAAGTAATTGTGACAGGTTCTCTTAAGCCAGCCACACTGATGACAACGAGAATTCACAGGATGAGTAGCCAGAGCAGGAAAGGCCATCTGAATCGCTGCTAGACCCGTGGGGCTGACAGAACAGCTAAGCGGCAGCCAATAGTTTCACTTGCGGTGTCTCACAAAGTAACTTCAAAAAGGAAAATTAAACATGAGACTGCAAGTAATAACATTAAAACACCAAAAGTTATTACCAAAAGTAATATAGTTTTGAGTAGAAAAAGCAATCAAAATCGACTAAACAAAAACAAGAGGTTTGGCTAACCGAAGCCAGGCAGCTCCTGTGCCCCTGCCTAGCACAGGAAACTTCCAGCAAAGGAAGGCAGGTGCAGAGATCACGACATTCTCAGCTATTGCTCAAGCAAGTCCCATCCATCCTAGCAACCATCTCATGTTTTCACGTTACATACGTGATACGAGATGAACAAAGACATGACTCAGCCACATTTTATTCACAAGATTACACACCACGAAGAATTAAAAAAATGTCCTAATTCTAGCTTTCGGGATTACACTTTCAGAACATTCAAGTATATACTTTCAGAACTGGAAGAATTCATGTCTCTGCACAAAAACCATTTCTAAGACAAACAAATGGCATAGAGATGTATGATTTTACTTACTTGCTTTCTTATGTAGTAACTTGTGAGTAGCCCAACTTCCTTTAAAACATTCCTAGAAGAGCAAGCATGAAAATTAGTGTCAGCCCTTCCTTAATCAGAAACATTTTAAGGAGCATTGTATATAAGAAATAGTAATTGGAAATTTTATTTGCAAAAATCAAATTTTTGACCTCACTACATTTAATATTTGGAAAAGCTTAAGAAATGATTATACCTATTTAAAAATTCATTTCAAAAAGCAATCTAAACTTTAGACTACATCAAATAAGACACATTTGCCTATATTATAAATACTAGTCTTAGTTATATTTCAATTTTATGTCACCAAATTATTTTGAAGTATTTGAAAAAAATCATGAGTCAATTAATCAATCATTCACTAGGGGGAAAAACAAGGAAGATTTTGCGATTCTTCCACCATTTGTAGTAGTCTGATTCCTAGTTAGTCATATCCACCTTGTTTTCTATGTGCTTGTTTTCTATGTGCCTGCCAGACTGCGAGCTCCGTGAGGAAGAGACTATGTCAAGTTTACCACAGAATCCCCAGGGCCACACAGAGCCAGAGCCACACACGTGGAGTTTCAGTGAGTACTTGCTGATCCATCACAATGGATGAATGACTAGAAACACCAGACTTTCCACTTCGGAAAATATGTGCATGTGACATATTTCACACCCCAGTAGGAAGTACTGAATTGGGAAAATGAATTCAAGTAATAAATTGAATTCAAGTAATGAACTCGTCATAAATCAGAAAAATGAATTCAACCACAGATCTTATCTATGCTTTGATTTTTATAGGCCCTCCTTTAAAGAATTTAAAATTACTCAAATAAATGATTAAAAATATTAAGAAAATTCACAAATTCTTACAAATGTTTTGACTTTGCAAACATAAAAGAGTAAGTCAGGGAGAAGAGAAAAGCCAAGAAAAAAAGAAAAGAAAACATCCCTAGGAGTATGTAGTAATCAAACCACACTACACCAGTGATAAGGCTCCTCTCCATAAAGGTTTACCCAAGGGCCCGTGAGAGGTCGGTTTCTCCCTCTGGGGCCAGAATCTTCACTGCCCCCCCTTTAGCTCCTTGTATCCTCCACAGCCTGCAACATTAAGTCAAGAAAACCCAGGTCATACCTATTCCCTGCTACTACAACCGCAACAGACTTCAAATGTATAAAAAGGTACCCACAACATTAAATTTTTTTTCACTTTTGAAGCTAAAACTGAGCTCAGTCTTTTGGGGAGAATGAGAGATATGGTAGGCAGAATAACGGTGCCCCAAGGATGTCCATGTCCTAATCCTCGGAACCTGTGAATATGTTAGGTTACACCTAAGGTAAAGGGGAATTCCAGTTGCTAATCCGATGACCTTGAGGTGGGGAGAGTATCCTGTTTCATCCAGATGGGCCCAATGTAATCAATGTAAAGGATCGTTAAAAGGTGGAAAAGGGAGGCAGGAGTCAAAGGAAGATGTAATGATGGAAGAAGGCTTCGAGAGATGTTACATTACTGCCTTTGAAGATGGAGGAAGGGGGCCACGAGCCAAGGAATGCAGGTAGCCTCTAGAAACTGAAAATGGCAAAAGTAGATTCTCCCTGGAGCCTCCAAAAAGGAATGCAGTCCTGCCAACACCTGATTTTAGCCCTGAGACCTAGTCAGACTTCTGAACTACAGAACCGTAGGAAATTTGTGTTGTTTTAAGCCACCAAGTGTGGGGTAACCTGTCATGGCAGCTACAGAACACTAACAGAAGAAGGAGGTAGAGTTACCCCTATCTGCTGCCAAACTGCAAAAACCACTCACAACTGGCAAAAAGATCTGTTTCTCTCCACCCTGGAGTTACAGGAAATTGGCAGAAAAAACTGGTAAAAACATCTGATTCTGCCACAAGAAAGGGATATTACAACTAACCGAAAAGTTCCAAGAACTAAAATAGGAATAATAGATTTCTTCAGTATTACCACACCTATTACAGAACATGAAGAGAAAGGAAAGTCAGTGCTGAGCTACAACATGAAGACAACCATGCTCACAACCGTTAACAGTTACCATTTCTCAAGTAGGTACACTACACGCCTGGCACTATCTCATCTCACCTTCACAAAAACCCCGCAAGGCAGATGGCATTACCTGCAACTTACAAATGACAAAGGTGAAGCACAGACAAGCTAAAGGATTTGTCTGTCACATAACAGAACCTTCCCTGGCAGAACTAGGACTCCAGCCCAGGACCGCCCAACTGGAGGCCACTCTTGCTCTCTGCTCTCCAATGTGTGGATGGGCAGGTATGGGAGTGTGTGTACTCAATTCAAAGCATCAATTCAGCACCAAACGTGGAACCAGAAACGTGGGTGTGATTAAGCTGTACCATGTATGAGCTATACCATTATAAACTCTAAACTTTTACCTTTAATCTGGAAATGGCAATAATTATTAACCATTTTCTTAGATCCTCAGTTGCCTCACCTATCAAGCGAGATTGATACCAACTGTAAGGTGGGTTGACATCTCCAGGAGAAGCCAAGAGAGCAGACCAAAGGTGACAATGTAATAACATACAGGAAAGCAGTTCACAGTGTGTGGCACACAGCAGCATCAGTGTACGGAAGCCACTGACATCCCCTCGCAGATCTCTGCGCCTGGCATTGAACAGGTTCTCAATATATGCTGGAGAACGAACCATGATTCATGAGATCATGTACACAAAAGCCTTCTTCTAGTTGTAGACAGAAATGTAAACTGTTTTCATCATTACCCTCTGGGTAAAAACTGCTCAACATTCCCTGCTAGAAACACTCCCAGCCTCCTTGTGATACAGGTGGCCACGTGACCTAGTCTGGCCAACAAAACAGAAGCCCAGTTGTTGGGTGGGGCTTCTGGAAACCTTCTTATAAAAAGGTTCTCATTAGAAAAGAGGCACTATTTTCTACTCTTTGCCCTTTCCTTGCTCCCTGCTTCAAACCCGGATGCTGCCTGAGGTGAAGCAACAGTCTTGTAACTTCAAAGCAACAAGCACACGTCAGGAAGCCTGGGTCCCGGATGATTTAGTGGAGCTGCTGTTCCAGTCTCGAAACGTCCACTTCCAGACTCATCAGAGAAGAAAAATAGTATCAGAGACATCATAAAAAACTATGCACCTTTACTTTTGGAAAATGTATTGGTTAGAAATTGCACTGGATTACGAGAAACAAAAACTCAGACAGTGACATAATCAGACCAATCACTCACCTGTTTAATAACAGACCCAAAAACGGGGGGGAGGGGTGAAGGTGGCAATGGTAAGTGTAGTAGGTTGAATCACGGCCACGCAAAGATGTCACATCCTAACCCTGGAACCTGTAAATGTTACCTCATTTGGGAAAAGGGTATTTGCATGGGTGATTAATTAAGAATTTTAGGATACAAGGATTATCCAGGTTGGTGCTAAATGCCATTACGAGTGTCCTTATAAGAGAGGGGCAAAGAGGTTTCACATATGCAGAAAAGGAGGAGGTGAGGTGGCCAGGAGGGTAGAGATTGGAGCGATGCAGCCACAAGTCAAGAAGTGCTGGCTGCCACCAGAAGCTGGAAGAGGCAAGGAATGGATTGTCCCCAAAGAGCCTCTGGAGGGAGCAGACCCTGCCGTCTCCTTGATTTAGGCTCACTAAAACTGATTGTGGACTTCTGGCCTCCAGAACTACAAGAGGACAAATTTCCATTGTATTAAGCCACTCAGTTTGTGATGATCTGTTACAGCAGCCACAGGAACTAACACAGTAACCAACAACGTCAGGGCGCACAGGAATGAATCCGACTACTACACTGACCCAGGTGAAGGACCAACAACAGTCCTTCTGAAGCTTTTTCTGCTTACATGTACTTATTTATGGAGTCAACTCCCAACCATTTACGGTAATGTTTAAATGAGGCAAGCAAAGGTACATGACTTATGTTAAGAAATCTAACTTCTGTCAACAATTTCAACATCTCTTCCTCCCCTTTCCAAACTATTCCTCACCAGAGACATGATTAGCAAAAGCGACAAGACACACTGGAGTTTCACTTGTCTTTCCTTCTTCCAGTCTAGCTGATGGCACTAAGTCTGTCAACAAGGAGAAGATCAGGGAGGGGAAGTCAGGAAGTGAAGACGAAGTTCAGAGTAGGCCCTAGAATCCAGTCCCAGAGTCTGCCAGGCCCAGAGGCAAATCCCAGCATGGCTGCATGTTAGGGGCACCACACCCCTGCTTTTCTTCACTGAGAGGCCTTAAATCCAATGTTTCTTTAACACCAAGTACATCATCTGCACACCAACTACAATTGGTACAATTCTCAATCCATTTTCCTTATGCCAGCTTAGAATAAATCAACTGAATGTCTGCCTAACGAGAACTCTGTATGGCTAGAGTGGCTTTCACGTTTCCTAGGCACTAACGTAGCCAATATTATAGCCCCACTATAAACACTCTTCCTTGAAAAAATTAAAGACAGATTCTTGGCCCATCATATAAACCCCCCTATCCAAAATCATAAGCTACTCCAATTGTTAGTAAGCACCGGCACAGTTTATACCCTCAACCTGGCCTGAAATTTGGAAATAAAGAAGCAAGGACCACGAGAAATGAGAAAAAATATGTCAAGAACAATATAGAAGAGATTTCTGGAGAGCGAGGGCCTTCATAGAAAATCTTTTAGATACACTTCTGCTCCACAAGCCTATGATTCTATTTTATAAGTAATTATGGAAGAGATTACAAATCTTAGAAATTTAAAAATATGACAGTAGCAATGAATATGTCAAAATAAAGACAAAGTTAGGGGGCCGGTCCAGTGGCTTAGCGGTTAAGTGCATGCGCTCCGCTGCTGGCGGCCCGGGTTCGGATCCCAGGTGCGCACCGACGCACCGCTTCTCCGGCCATGCTGGGGCCGAGTCCCACATGCAGCAACTAGAAGGATGTGCAGCTATGGCATACAGCTATCTACTGGGGCTTCGGGGGGAAAATAAATAAATAAAATCTTAAAAAAAAATAAAAAAGACAAAGTTAGGAAAATCTCTCCAAAAAGTAGAGCAAAAT